CATTCACAGGGAATGGACCATTGCCTGATATCAAAGAACCAGAAATTCCAGCTCACTATATTACCATAAGTTTCCTTTTTATCTTCCTGTAGGAAGAACACACATTCAAATACTTGCTGTCTCCCTTTGTCTCTTTTCCTGTTGAAGGGAACAGCGTTTTATGGGGATCCTGATTCTCATCCATTTTTCTAGCCTTCGAAGACTGCATTTTGTTCTTTTTTGGGGGGGGTAGCTTGCACCTACACCATGTTATAAGTCAGTAACTTTTCATATGTTTATTGCTTTTTCTTCTTGTATCACTAAATGAAAAATTCCCAGCTGATCTCAAAAGATCACATATATGAAATATTGGCAGTATTGTAAGGCAGTGATAGTGACTCTTAATGGGTAACTTGCTCCAAAAGCAGATTTAGTTTCCATAAATACTAAGATTAAGAAGAAATATTTAATAAAGTATGGGAAGTAGCTTTTGCTCCAGTGAAGGTAATAACAAATCAAAATAAGCCCTAAGTAGGAGTAGAAAGTACAAAACATCAACTTCTGCCTTTCAAGTAGTTGGAGTTAGCCTACAGCTGGCTGCTTCCCAAAGAACAAATAGTACTCTGTTTAGACTAGTTAGAAGTAGATTAATATTAAAAAGTTTCTAGAGGCAGTCTTTGCTTGATCTTCTGAATTCTTCTGAACAGGAAGTGTAACATGTACAAAAATAATTTAGATTTTTCAAAAGAAAATAAAGACAAAAGGTAAGCAAATTGATGTCATACTAGAGACGTGGAAACCAGTAAAAAAATAGTTTATTTTATTATTCACATTACCAAAACTTAATTTGGACCATTAAAATCAGGTTAAATTTTTATAACAGTTTAAATTTTCATGTCCTTTTAACATGCACGTATTTTTAATTACTTCCTTATTTATGTTGATTTAAATTTAATTTACCACAAGAAAGCCTTTTTCTATACTTTATTTTTAGCTGTATTTTGAAAGAAACATTTTGAATGCATTTTTCTTGGATAAACTAGAGAGGGACATGTGGATTTTTGAATGGCAGGGAGCAAATGCTAGTAGACACTATAGAGTGATGGAAAACATGCTGAGATGAACTTTTTTGTCTTCTAATGATTTTACATTGCCCAAGGAAAGCATGCCTGGAACCAAACTGGCAATCTAAACCAATAACTAGAATTAAAAGCTAAGTAATTCAGTTTTGAAGCAATGAATGCTGTTTTGAACATCTCAAACATACTAAGGAGTAAATTCTGAAGTAGAGCCTCAGAATTGGAAGGAGTGATTTAGGGCGCTAAATCTAATTCCCTGCAAGAATCCAAATTAAAGTATCTGCAACAATAGTATCCAGCCTCTGCCTGAATACATTCAGTGAAGGACAACCTACTTCCTGTCTTGGTAATTGATTCCAATGTTTAACTGGCCATACACTTCAGATTCCCCCCCCCCCAAATATTTCATTAAAATCTGCCTTCTTGGAACTTCAATCCATTGTTCTATATCTCTCTGGGATGATAAATAACAAGCCATTTTCTTTGTCATATCTCAGAGAGAAGACCAATACATATCTGTACCAAAAGGAAATAAAGATAATTTGAGCTGAGAAATTTAGAAATTTTCCTTCGTTTATATAAGAAATTCCTCCCCTATTTTCCTTCCTTCCTTCCTTCCTTCCTTCCTTCCTTCCTTCCTTCCTTCCTTCCTTCCTTCCTTCCTTCCTTCCTTCCTTCCTTCCTTCCTTCCTTCTCTTTACTATATTTTTATTATAATAATAATAATTATTATTAAAGATTTAGTCTTCATGTCCAACCAAGGACTTGGTCCTGTTAAAATAATGTCTGAGCATATAGGTAGTTCTGAGTAAGGTGGGGTTTTTTTGTTTTTTGTTTGCAAAGTCAGAATATTCAGGTCTAATACATTAAAAATGTCTGTGTATCTAGATTGCCCTTTGGGTATTAATCCAAGGGCTCTTATTACTATTGGTACAACCATTGGTTTCTTCTTCCACAATCGCTCAATTTCAATTTACAGATTGTGATTTTTTTTCTAGCTGTTTCTCTTCCATTCGTGCATCATCTGGTATTGCAATATTATTATTAGCATATGGCATTATTAAATTAGCCAGGAGACCTCAATGCTATTGCAGAGTAGTAGTTTGGCTACCAATTTACCAGTTCTGTTGTAGGATATGCTCATGCACTTCCTAAGGTGTGCTACAGGAAGGCAAGCTGGCTTCACACCAGAAAGAAAGGCAAACGGCTCTTCCAACAGTGTCATCCAAGGTCCCCTCCCTTCCCCAAAGCTGCCTTACAAATGGGAACTGTAATCAGGATGGTTCAGAGCCAGTAAGAATCTGACTGTCTGCACAGAGCACCAACTTGACTCCCCACTAAATTGGTATCTATTTATCAACTTGCATAGAACATGCTTTCAAACTGTTAGGTGGATCAAACCTGAGATGAGTGACAGGAGCTCACCCGGCCACATGGTGCTGGGACTCAAACCGTTGGATCAGACACCATCTCCAGCATCATGAAGCCATTGAGCCACTGTGCCTCTCCTATCTGAATGAACAGTTTGTTAGTTTCGATATTTTTTGTTTAGAAAAAAATCTAATGAAGTAATAATAAGAAATACTTATATGAGTATTTCTATTTTTTAAATAATTTTACTAAGGTTTTTAATAAAAAGATAAAGCATATACAAAAACTTACTACAAAAGTACATTTAAAAAAGGAAAAATATTTAGAAAGTCCAGAAACTCTCTCAAAAGAAGAGGGAAAAAAAGAAAATATAGGAAAAAGAAACTTCCCCCTACATTGACAGCAAATATATTCAGTATTAATAACTTATCACTGTCTATTAAAATGCCAAATATATCTTCATTCCATACCTCACCCTATTTTCTATAAACTCATCTCTAAATCTTCACCTCCTCTTATACTCAGCAAAAGTCCAGTATAAATTAATTAAAATACCTGACATAAATATATCATCCTACTTTTATTTAAAATTTAATGCTTCTCTGTACTAACCAAAGTCTAATTGATTGGTAATATTTATTAACTAATTTATTATTAACATTAACATAAATTAACATTTCAATATTGCAAAAATTTAAAATTATTAAACATTACCATAAGCCCTTATTTATGTATCAAAAGTACTAATATAGATATTATAAATCAACCTATTATGCCCAATTATAGTTTCAAAACAAAAACTATTCAGTCAAATTAACCATTAACCATCACTAGAAACAGTGACTCATTATTATAGTAACCCCTCATTTACATATCAAAAATAATAACATAGATTACACAGGCTGTATTATAACGCCCAGCTTGTCAAAATATTCATTAAAGAACACCAGAAATAGCAACTATGGTCAAATAACAATTTTACATATTCACCTTTAAATCACAGTTATAATATCTACTTCCTTCCGCTATCTTCTCTCAAAATCCTTGCCATCTTTATAAAGTCCATTTGTAATTTCAAAGCAGACACTCTAGTAAATCTATTACATTTCAATTTAAATAAGATATCAGAAGAATGATGTGGATTAATTATTTGTGTATCTCTGCTTTGAATGCTGTGTAGAAACAATAAATAAATAACATCTGTATCATCAACATCCCCCAATAGTCCAATGCGACAAGGGACAATTTTTACCCATGTATCCAAGTTCATGTCAAGTTGTAATATAGGTGCCAATTATGATTTTTAGAAATAAGCTTTAGAGAACCTTAAATGATTAGACTTAAAGCATAGTTTTGAGTGGGCGATCTTCAAAGTTTGCATTAAGATGTTTGTTGGATTTCTACTGAAGTAACTCTACAATGATTGTGAAGACTTTGCCTTGGGACTATTAGCTATAGTATTCATATCAATTCAAACTCTGCCTCATGCATATGCAAATCCTTCATTATATTTTTCTGCTTTTTTAAAGAGGAAAACTTGCAGCCTCAGTTCAATAAGGTTATCAGCCTAGCAGCATTTCTTACTTATATATTAAATAAGAATGAATACTGCCTTTAAATGAATACCCCAAACCCTTTGGATGAGACCTTATGATTACTACTTGCCAATGAATTTATGAGAGCAAAGTACTAAGAAAAAAGGAAATAAGGGGCATAAAACTCCAGCAGATGCAGTGATGGATGATAACATATAAAAACTAGAACTATAATTCCCACCGTCCATAGGTAGGTATGGCTATTGTTTTACTATTGGAGTAATAGAAGTTTCATTCTAACACAGGAGTGTCAAACTCGCAACATCACATGACATGTCGCAACGTATCGCATCTTTTTTGCTATTGCTGGCAATGGGGTGGGTGCGGTTTCGCTATGATGCATCCAGCCACAGACCGGCAATTTGACACCCCTACTCTAACAGATCTGCAGGACACCTGGTTGGGTAAGATTATTTGAATTTTTTCCTTCAATCCACTCTATGTTTTATCTTCTCAATATACTATTTCATGTATTATTTCAGAAAACAAGCATATACATATGTTGTAAATGACACCCAACATGATTCAGTCTCTTTTATTTATCTTTGCAGACATATATTTTTATAGATGCATACATATTGTTCCCTTTCTACTATGGTTTTGCACATTCTTTCTTGAAGAAATCAAACCCATTCTCTCCAATTGCTTATTAGAAACCTCACCATGGTTCTTTTATACCAATATAATTCTAGATTTCATGGTAATGGCTCTAGTTTGCTATGTAGAAACAATGCAGTATATCTAATTTTTCTACCAGGTCAACAGCATTCAAATGATTTTCTTCTAATTTAAAGGCTTCTTTTTAACAGACTGAGGAACTTTCAGTAGTACCCTAATATTAGCCACTATTACCATTTGTGCTCTGATTGTAGTTATAATTTATTCTGAAATATTCCCAGGATGCTGTATTAAGAGTCTTCATTGGTTTATTCTTGTTTCTAGTTGATTTGTTTCAAAATATAATCCCATTCTGGTTTCTAAGGTCAGATTTGTTTTCCTTCCTACTGCATTTTACCATATTATTTTATTTATATCAGTCTTTAAGTCAATCACAAGTTCTTCTGTGTCAGACATCACTGCAATATCTAAGTATTTGGCCAGGGTGTTTATGTTTACATCTAGCTTTCATTTATTATGATAAATTCTTTCAGCTTTGCTTTCTCACCTTTACTTGACACTGATTTTCTCTTCTGCTCAGTTCATACCGAGCATGGAGGGAATTAAGTACTCATAGAGCCAAGTGTTATCTGTCATTGGCTGATTGACAGAAAGCACACTGCCTGAAAGCACCGAGACACTATGATTTACAGAGTAAAGTACAACCTCTGAACTTGTTGACTGCATATACATTTATGGTGTGACTGCTGATTTGGAGTTATCTCAGAAACTCTATCTTCTTCATTTCCTCTTTCCAGGTTATCATACTGGTAAGACAAATAATTGGTTTTCCCAACATCTAAAAGTCTCTTTCCCAAATTCCCCATATTTATGGGAAGAACATTTTCCACTTATTTGAAGAATTGTTATGAGTCTAACCTTTCTTTTATTCTTCAAGAACTATTGTGATAGATCAGCTAATGTGGTGTATTAGAGTATTTACTTATGTTTCAAGTAACTGAAGAGCAAATTCCTGTGTACTCATGATGTCATAGAATGATTTTAGGTTAGCCTCATTTTCTCATCCCAATATTTCATGCAAGACTGTTGTGAGAGCAAAATAGAAGAGTACTTTATACACACTCTATAGTCTATATACCTGAATGTTCTTTGCATTCTTAAATAGACCCTGTATTCCAGGACACTTCTTCAAGTGCTTCTGTGCTATCTCATAATGGGGTGAAGGGGTTCCAGATAGAATAAACAAAGAATTATGTGTATGCCCTGAGCATATAATCTCAGCAGCCCCACTAAAGAATGCAGATATCTGAGCACCAATTATACAGAAGGATACTGGAGGTGGATAACAACTTTAGTGATAGTTGCAAATGCATTATTTCATATTGCATGGGACAAAACAATTGTAAAACACTTCTGTACTTTACCAAGAAAACCTTATAGGTAAGACAATATAAAGTGATAAAAGTGAAATATAAAGTGAGGATGGCCCCATGTGTTATTGAGCAAATGCTGAGGATATTTTGGACACTAATGGTGTTTATGACATGGCTAGACTGAAGTCTTCCAGTCAATAAAGTTGCCATGCAGGAAAAGAAAATCTAAAGCTGCAAAGACAGACTTATAGTAGGAATTTAAGAAACACTTCATCTATTTTTATCCTGTCTTTACTATTTTTATAAATATTTCAAAGTGGTGAACATACCTAATACTCTTCCTATTTTTCCCCACAATTATCGTGTGAGTTGGTTGAGTTGAAAGAGAGTGATTGGCCCAAGTCATGAACATGGGAAAGCTCACTATAGTGAAAAAATGAAATTTATCAACTGAACAAACTGTTCAGACTTTAATGAAATGGACTGGAATTAGAAATGGAAACAGATTTGACTGGAATTAGGAATGTTCTGCCTGAAGATTATACTGTTTACAAGTCAAGATATCAAAACAAAGATCAATCTTGCTTTCATAATCAGGAAGGATTTATTAAGAACAAATACATGGATACAATGATATATATTACACCTTGGATGACCTTTTAATATTATGATTGTCCAAGTTTGTGCTCCAATCATAATGCAAATAAGGGATTGATAAATTTCATGTTTACTTTGAAACTGAAACAATGTGCAAGCAAGATGGTTAAAGACTGGAATGTCAAAGTTAGAAATATTAAAGAGGAAAATGTGGTTGGACTAAATGGTTTATGAAATAAAAATAAAGAAGATTGTTTTATTTTAGAAATTGACTTGTCAATTTCTATAAATCCAATAATCTTTTTATTCTTAACAACCAAAATTACACCTATATACTGTAAATGGATAGAAATAAAATTTAATCTTTTTCTTATCTTATTCATTCAGTTTATATAGAGCTGCCCATCTCATTTGGGCAGTTCAGAGTTTAAAAAGCAAAAAACAAAATCTATATAGATAAATAGAGAAAACCAATGACAATAAAACATTAAAAAATGTTAAAACAATAAAAAATAAAATGTGAGAGAGTTCCAACCAGTAATTTATAACAATTTGGCCATCTCACAGGCTCCATATCATAACGGGATCCCTAGGTGTAATAGTAGATCCATATCTTCAGTATCTTCCAAAAATCCAAAAGGTCAGTTCAGGGCCAAGTTGACCTCTTGGGGGTGGGGGGGTGGGGAGAAGATGGAGTTCCAGAAGGCAAGTACCACAGCAGAAATGATTTTCCTTCTGGAAATGCTCAGTTATAACAGCAAAGACTTGGCAATCATAAAATCCAAGTTCTACATTATATTAAAATTAAGGAGGTCAGCTAGTTTCCATGATATAATCTTTATCATATAATCATCATTTTCATGGAGAACATGAAGAATTGCTTTGAAGTTCTGAACTTGATAAGGAACCAGAAGAACTGTGGAATGAAGTCAAGTAAGTTGCTAAGGATAAGTATAAAAAGAGAATGTCAAAGACCAAGAAAAAGAAGAAAGCACACAGGATGTCAGAACAAATAATGGAAATTGCCAGAATGACAAAAGAAGCCAAAACCAAAAAAGAAAAAGATCTCATGAAAGAACTTGGACAGATAGTAACTGATTCCAAGAATATCAAACTAAGAAGGAAATAGTGTATGAAATTTTGTGCAGTAGAGATGTTAACATCCAAGATACCTTAGAAGATATTCCTTACTTACAAGAACTTCTAGAAGTTTACTTTAGATTACATCACTAAGTTGGAAGGTTGCAGGAACTGAGGGAACGCGGGAAGACCTGGCTACAGTGGCTCACACTATCATCTCTATGTGCATAAACTACTGTAGCATGATCTACACAGGGCTGCCTTTAAAGACCACCCAAGCTTCAACTGGTGCAAAATGCAGAGGCCGAGTAGCATCTATTACACCTATTTTAGAAGCCTCCACTGACTTCCTATTAGTTTCCAGGTGCAATTTAAAGTCTAGGTTTTCACTGGAATTGAATCATGCTAGGAAAAGCAGCTGGTTGTTCTCTCATTTTTGAGAAGTCAGGGAGGGGTAAAGAAAGAAAACAAGACCTAGAGATTTTTATCCATTTTCAACTTAATCCTCTGGAATGGCCCTTAATGAGAAATGAGTTTGGACCCAACTCTGGCCACTTTGTGGAAGCTTCTTAAAAAAGAGTTTTTCCAGAGGATATTTGTAGTCTCACCTTGGATGTCTTTTCAAGTTTAGATTCATCTGTTTGACTGTCTGTTTTATTATATATTTTTCTTACTTTTTTACATTGTAAGCCCGATAGTCTGTATATGATTGTTCTAAGTATGATATTTAAATATCTAAAGAAATACTGCTTCCTTAATTTTACTGCAATCAATAATCTCTTAAACTGGAAGCTTTGCATATGCTCTTACTGCCTTTCCAGTTAAAACATGGAACTAATCTAACCACCTTTTCTTCTTTTGGCCACTTATAAGGCAACACATTCCCATATTGTAAAGAAGGATTCAATATGATCAGGGGTAGTCAACCTTGGCTCTTTTATGACTCGTGGACTTCAACTCCCAGAATTCCTGAGCCACCTAACCTGGCTCAGGAATTCTGAGAATTGAAATCCACAAGTCATAAAAGAGCCAAGGTTGACTACCCCTGAATATGATCCTCCTCTATTAGTTTAGGGAACTTTAAATCCTTAGGTTCTTTCTTTGGAGTAAACAGTAAAGGAGGAGAGTGGAAGTGACTGGAGGAGTTTAGGTTCCTTGATGGCAATTAACTTTCTAAATTCTTCCTTTCTGGCCTTTTTAGCTAGGCTTTTCTTTTCTAACTAATCCCTAATCCCAGTCTCTTCCTCCCTTCTGAATAGTTAATCATTTTCCTCCTCGAGCAATCGTTTCCTTACTTCTTGCTCCTGCCTAAGCATTTCCCTTATGATTTCAAGCCATGCCTCAGAGGAGGTCTGTTTACTCTGAACGTCTATGGGTAAGATAGGTTTTGTCTTGACCCTTGCCAAGTCCATTTCCATGTGTAACTTTCTTATGCAAGCTCCTGTATAGGGCTAAGTAGAAAATACCATTACAATCTTTTCGAGAGCTCTAGTCCCTTTAAGTCCAAACTAAAGACAGACTTAACAACAAGAAAAAGTCTGTCTTTCATTTCACTCAGTATTATGGTCTGGGTTTTTTCCCTAGTATGATATCATTTCACAGCCACCACCAATTGCGAGAAGATTACAATTAAGTTATGGTACAAACCACAGTTCAGGAGACAAAATACTTTCTTTTATATTTACACAAGGCTGGTTTAGTATACAAAATATATCTTTCCAACATGTTAAACTTAATATATACAATTAATTACTTATCTGTACCTAAAATATATGTGACAATGAATACTAAAAAATGAAAATACTTTAAAAAGTCACAAGTTTCCCTTTTACCCTTTTACATTTTTAATTCCCTATATTTTCTTTCTTAATCTTCACATTTAAGAACTAAGAATTCTGTTCCTTTTATCCAGGGCTTAGTGTCCTTTACCCTACATTTAGCCCTGTATGATCTTCTACCTTTCAGCATTTATACTTAAGTAGGTGCTGTTGAAGTTTCAAGTAGCCTTACAATTGCTCCCTTTTACTGAGCTGTTTCTTTGGCTGTCAGTCCTTCTCAGTTCATAGTAAAGAGAAAACAATTACTTGTTGCTGGTCTGCATCTCTGGAAGACTTCTGAGGCCACAGTGTTCGGCTACTCATTACTCAGCTGCAGCAGCTTCTGAATCTCTTTGTTGTCTCATTCAACTACTTTGCTCTGAACTCCTCTATGCATTACTAGTTACTTTAGCTTTCCAATACACTCATCTTCATCTCTTTTATAAACACCCACCTTGTGCCTTCCGTGTATCACTTTTATCTCCCTGTAGTATAGATACAATTTTATACAATAGTCAAAATCAATTAAAATTATATAATATCAATATGGAAAAAGGAATACATGGACCAACATAGATTTAAATTTGTCTAAATTTGTATCTTCTAAAGCCAGAGTGGACTGCTCTGACCATAGCAGTATAAATCCACAAAGAGTAAGGACAACATTTAGATATTTGCAAATTGGTATTTTCTTCTTATCAGTCTATCAAAATTTTCTAATCTACATTGTCCTACTTGCTGTTTTGTAAATTAAAAATAATCTTGATATTGAGAGGTTATATCAGTTTTGCTGCTGGGAAGCTTTCTCTTTATTCTTTGCTTCAGGAAACCCTGGATATGTGTTAATCATAGCCATGGAAGGTAGAAATGAATTATAAGACAGAAATCTGCTAGTAAGAATTCTTAAATTGTAAAAGTATGGTTAAATATTAAAAACCTGCT